AGGAATCAACTCTTTTGTTGAACTCGTCAACCTGTTCAACCAACAATTTGCAAGTAGTCCGGCTCTCGAAAAACAAACCAGCGACCTTTACCGGATAATCCAACGGCGGAACGAGTCCTTAAGGGACTATTTACACCGGTTCAATAAGGAAAAATGTTGATTCCTAAGTGTGACATCCCGACTGCAGTTGAAGCATTCCGAAGAGGACTGTTGGAAGATTCTGAACTATACCGAGAGTTGACCAAATATCCATGTCGATCTTTTGAAGACGTTCAGATGAAGACGTTGGCTTTCATCCGTCTAGAAGAAGACTTACGATCCCATCGCAGACAAATTGAGTATGAAGGAGGGCATGTGAAATCAGAATCTCTAAGGAGGCATGATCACAGACATGGAAACCCTTATTCGAGGCCTTAGGAACGAGTCGTCACTTCTGTGACGGGATAGATCAGACGACATGATTGAAGTCGTCAGATAGGGGGCATGTCGTCCGACGGAAGACATATTCTGAAGAGCTGCACTACGGTACCCTTAAAAGTTGTTTCACTTTTGGTGTATTATTTTCTTTTACATATTGTTGTCACTCCTGTGACGAAATAGACCAGACGACATGATTGAAGCCGTCAGACGAGGGGCATGTCGTAAGGAAATAAACTTGACGAGGTGATTGAAATCGTCTGACTGTAGACAGGTTCTGACGATGGATACTTATTTAGTTTCATATACGTATTCTTAATTTATTACTTTCCTTTACCTATAAAATGATCACTAACTTAAGCGTCGGAGGGCCGTTGGCTTCTAGCCAATGGCCGATGTTAGCGAATTCTTTTTTCACACAGGTACAATCAACGATTGACGATGGCGGAATCCTGACATACAAAGCCTTACTACACGTCAAAATACAATTGACGACGGGGGGCTTACATCAACAAAGCCTTACAACACGTCAAAACACAATTGACGGGGAGCTTACATCAAACGAAGCCTTACAACACGTCAAAACACAATTGACGGGGGGCTTACAGAATTTAATGGGAAGGGTTAGGCTGCCCATGAGAATATCATGGATCACAGTCCTAACAGAGCCCATACAATACGTTTTGGCCAAAACCTACACACATATATGACAACACACGTACAACAAAATTACAGAAATGCACAACAGAAGCACACGCTCCGAGAGCATGACAACAAAAGCTCCAAAACATAAAGAAACCATATGAACGACATTGACAAAATCATAGATACTCATGTCGACGATATTACTAAAATCACAAACGAAACAATATTCAAAGTTTTTGCAGGATTTCGATTACGTTTATGCGGCCCGACTCGTCATTTCTAGCAACGGACGAAGTTCCATTTGGCAACCAAAGTGTCAACATCAATATGGACAAAGTTTCAACTCGTCAGAAGCGTCTTGTCATACGAATGGAAGACTGATAACATGTCTCATCAGTCGGATGACGAATCTATATGGGCAGTATTCAAAGATGACGGATACAAGTGTTTTCAAGATTTCCAAAAGTTGATGCTTTATGGTTCGACATGTACGACAATACGCTTCAACTTCTCGAAAGGGGGCTATTGTTGGGCCACGAATTATTCAGCAAGGCAAGATAGGAAGGGAAGACTCATTGAAAGGGAAGAATAAAAAAAGAGATAATTTAACCGTTGGCCTTTATGTAAATATATTTACTTTCCTTTTCCTCCCATCTCTAATGTATGGAAAGGAATTAATTAGTTTTCTTAGCTAGACACACTAGTTAGTATTTAATCGGATCTTCCTTGAGAAGAAGGGGCACATTCGATCATACACCACCACTCTCCCATTCAAGCTATCAAAAAATTTCTTTCATATTCAATTGAGACTATTCTTAACAAAATCATTATCGATTCATATTTGCTCGATTCCCGTTTAATTCATATTTAGACTAGTTTATTCTTAGCATAAACAATTTCTGGTTAAAACAATTAGCAACCCTATTCTCTCATGTGACCCTTCATCTCTCATCTCCCTCAATTTGTTACCCATGGATTCATATGATATAACATTTTTCTCCATCATCCCCAATCACTTGCGCTGGCACCCTCATGCAATCCTTTGAACCCCAACACTCTTTGTCGCATGTTGAAATCGCCAGATCTAGGGTTTTTGAAAACTCAGATCTAATCAATTTGTCCATGCATATTAGAGCTATGATGCCTACAGAATTTTATGGTGTTCTAGATAGTTACGAGGACGTAAATGAGGAAGATGAAGTCGAAGAAGTGATGTGTGGATGTCGAGATTACAGACAAAAAGGGTGACTCCCAACAGCTACCCGGTGGTGTACATGTGGAAGCAACCTGTGCAAAAAAAACTTCATTTGATAAGATGCAGAAGTTGTATATGACTAATTGGGTTCCAAAACTCTGTTACAAATGATTCCCGTAGGGGAATACTCTCTCTATATCTATGCTTTAATTGCCTTTATGTGCTTGAACTACATTTATGATTCTTGAAGTTGATTTATTTTAATTTTAATTGATCAAATGGCATCGTCGCCCTACTTTAATTTAGTTTTTATCCATGCCATTTTCTTCGTTCCATATATGTTTCTTCTTTTCAAAGTTTTAATCAAATTAAAGTAATTTTACATAATTTTATTCACTTTTTGTCTAGTTTGAAAGACCTAAACTACTTCCTTCCATTTTCACAAAAAATTGGGTTCTTTTATTTATTAATATCAAAAAATGAAGAACTGTGTGACAACCCAAATTTATTTATGACAAAGTAAAAATTGGGTTCTTTTTGTTTGTTTGCCAACCGAATATGTTATTTATAACTAATTTTATACTCCGCAGTACTTTTCTAAATATATTTACCTGTTTGTGACATGCGTGAGGTAATATGCATGTAGTGCATGTAAACCGGATTTCCTCACGACAATTCCTGAACACGTCATTGCTTTTCACGCATAATTATTTACTACTCCCTCCGTATTTAAATGATCCTTATGTTAGGATAATGGGCCAGGTCCAAGACTATCGGCCCGTCACACCCGAGCTTTGGCCCGACCAAGCTCAGAACACAGTCCGAGCGTCCAGCTAATGGATGTTGGTCCGGGATTATTTAATTACTTATCGGGCTGGCTGACCCATTAGCGTCAGTATTAGTTGATGAATCGGGTCAAACCCATGTCGTAGCACTTAATTGGTGGGCATATTGTATACACCTATAAATAGGCCACCAACCCCTTGTATTCTCCAAAGTTATTTTCACTATACTGAAATGCTGCTAGTTTCTCTACCCGGGATATTTTCTACCAACACCTTACATTAAGTAAAAAAAGTAGGGATAATTGGGTATTTTTAAAATAAAAATTTATTAAAAAGGGAGAATGTTGCAAATTTTCAAATAAACCCCAAATAAGAAAGTGTAAAAATTTTTTAAATACAAACCGAGCATATCGGTATATGTCACCGGCCATCATTTTATAGCTAGAAAGCACAGGAAAAACACGGATCATTGGATCACGTCTATTTTGTATCTAGAGAAAATACTTGGGAACTAACAAAAAAAAAATAATACTAGTACTACGTATGGAGTATTTATTTCTAATCATTCATTATAGTATTATTATTTATAAAACAGTGCACGTAGAAAAAAGGTTGGAAAATCTTATCAGTGGAGGTAAAGCGTAAATAGTGGTGGCCAACAAACCATGTTCTGGGAGGGAAAAAGCTTCATAAGAATTGAATGCAACATGTTTTATGATTAGCCTTAAATAAATAGGATCATGCATGTGGAGTCAACGGCTGCCGAATTAATTCAAATTTTAAATGTTCTCCAGGCCGAGTTTTACGGTTGAACCGGATATTTATGCAGGCTGTACTTTCTATTGAAATTAGATGTATTTTAAAGAAGGCTAAATGGTCAAATAGGCCCTTGAACTGACTTAAAGTGTTCAATTAACCCCTTATATAGGAGGTTCTGCCCGGCCGTCGCCAATTGGGGCAGTTCCTTGCCTGCTTGTTTCTCTTGATGTTGCTCCAAATGAGGTGGAGCATTTGCCTGCTGAAGTTCATTCTGATTTACTTGTTGAAACCAAACCCAAATTTGTGAATGAAAATGTTTTTCATGGTGAAAATAAAGAAAATAATATTTCTATTAAGGTGGAGCATGATATGAATGTTATGTGCAAGAGGCTTGAGTTGCATGATTGTCAGATTATTAGAGATAGAGACATTAGGGAGCATGAGAGAAATGATATGTGCAAAGTGTTTGACTATATTTCCTCTGAGTTTGCTTTAAATGTGCTTAATTCTCTTTTAATTAAATTCTTTGTGATGTTTGATATGCTATTTTCTTTGTGTTTTGAAAATGTGATACCAGGTGATTATGTGAGCTCTACTTGTGCTAGTTGTAGAAATAATATTATTTCTTGTATTTTCTTTGTACTTGTTATGTGTGGTTGTTGGATTAGTTGGGATCCCCAACTTCTCCCGAATGCTTGCTTGTGTGGGCTATTAACATACCTTGTGTTTGTTAATAGCATTGTGATGGTTTCGGTTTTGAACTCGAGGACCCTATGGTAGAGTTAAGTCCTTTATGGACTCGGTATGCTTGGTGATCTAACCCCGAGAGTACTTGTGTCTCTCTATTACTTGTATTGTCTTTGTGATTATACTTGTAATTATCCGGCAATGATGAGTCCGCGGTTCCGTGATTGTCTAAGTGCACTACCTTGGGCCAAAGGTGGAGATTGTTAATATATTGTTGGCCCAAACGTTTTTTGTATATTAATAATAGTCAACACACTTTCTAGCAGCCCACTACACTGTACCCATTTATCTATCTGACTTATCAGTATTTTCCTCTCCCGTTAGAATTCAAAATACTGAACTCATTATTGCCTAGTGATGAGTTGTGTGTGCAGTGTATTATTCGAGTATCCTTCTAATAAGACCAAATATCCCGTGCTATAAGGACAGCCCTTGCACCCTTGTTGTAATGTGTGGAGCGTACAGAGAGATACTTCACTCAAACCAGTCTTCTTCCTCCTTGAATTTCCTTTATGTCAGAACTGGATAGTGAGTAGAAGTGAGTAGAAGTGAGGTGTTGGCGAGGCTAGAAAGGTGTGTTGCTCCCTTAGCTTAGGAGTGCACAAGAGACAACCGGAAAACCGAAGTCCGGACTGCCTGAGCCGGAATCCGGTGACGGAATCGATCCTCAACAAGTTTGTTAAATCATCATTTTTAAATTTCGTAGGAGGTCCACAACACGCTATATCGTCTTATTTATTCCTTCAATAACTCATCTTTTACGAGAAAAGTACATCAACAATTTTAAAGAAAAATGATACAAATTGGAAAGTAAAGGTTAGTAAAGTTCAAATTAAGAAGCATTCATATTTTTAGGACAAGATGTTACAATGGGACATATGGTAGTTGTGGCGCCGTAACTAGAAAAAATAAAAGGTAGTCGGTAGTCCAGCATAAAGATTTTTAGTAATTCCTTGCATAGCTTTTTAATACAAAAATATAGTCATGTTTCAAATTTATGGTGCGTCAGGCGTAACAAGGCTCTAGATGGGAGTGAATGAGTGATGCACAAACAAAAGAAAAATGTTTATAGTCCATTATAATAGGAAGATGTTCATATTTACAATAGGAAAATGCTCTTTTCTTTCCATCCAAATTAGGGAAATCCCAGAGAACATATATGAAAGTGTTCAGAAGAGTGAATAGTCATTCATTGTGGTTTCTTGAATTTGCACCCCACTCTATAGCCTCTGCAACTGCTTTCTGTCGTTCTTCTGCGGATACTCCATTGTCATGATTCTCATTCTCTGACCGAGGCTCCACCGGAGAATCGTCTGATCCACTTTGCAGCCCTTCTGAAAGATGATTGAGAGCATTTACTACATCTGTCATCAATGGCCTTACTTCAGGATCTTCTTCCAAGCACATTGAAGCTATTGCAGCCACCTGCCTAAAACTCTTCTTTGGTATGTTTCCTTTTAAATGTGGGTCAAGAAGTTCAAATATTCTGTTATGGTCTCTAAACAAAGGCTCCGCCTGTAACGTATTAAGAGCATATTAACATGTTAGCTAGGATAGAAAGATTTAACATAAGAAACATAGTAGTTGAAGGTCTTTTAGTCCTTGAACTATAGTGTTAAAGGACACTTAGTATTTATGTTTGGATTTTTTCATGCGCAGGCCTTCAACTATTGTGACAAAGGGTATTTGTGTCTTTCAATTTGGAGCCATCAAACTATGGTGAAAGTGACACTAAAAACAAATTTGGAGTCTTCCAGCAGAATCTAAAGACAAAGTCTAAGGATAAATAATATTATGTAACTTTTTTCGTTTTAGTATTTAACATATTCCTTTGTCGCTTTACGCCGTGGATAATAATTTTTCAACCTTGTTCAACCCAAATTTTTAGATCCCCTCATGATCAAAGTGTGACCTTCATATATAAGGGTCACTGATATAAAATCCGAAAAGTTCAAGTATTGGATCCAAAAGTATACATGTCTTAATAGACAAGAACTCCAAACTTACCCAAGCAACCAACAATTGCTCATGACCTTTTCTCATAGGATCTACTGCTCTCTTTCCTGTGATTAATTCCAACAGAACAACACCAAAGCTATAAACATCCGACTTGACACTTAGATGACCCGTTCTTTGATACTCCGGAGCACAGTAACCATATGTTCCCATTATTCTCGAAGAAACATGAGAGTTATCTCCTACAGGTCCAACCTTGGCCAACCCGAAGTCGGAAAGCTTTCCATTGAACTCCTTGTCTAGTAATATGTTTGAAGACTTCAAATCACGGTAAATCACCGGTGGGTTAGCCTTTTCGTGCAAATATTCCAGGCCTCTGGCTGCGTGTAACGCGATTTTCATCCTCTTTGGCCAATCCAATACAGCTTGGTCTGGATGAAGATCTGAACAAATGCAAGATATAAGTACGCGTTCGATGTCGCTGCCTATTTTCAACTTTTTATTAGTGTAGATGATTTTAAGAGGTATACGATACACATTATCAAATGAACTAACAAATAATCACACTTACGATTGTCATGTTAGTATGAAAAATGTGCGCTTACAAAATTTTGTAAAGCACTCTTTCTAGTTTTCAGATTCTTTTATTTAGTCTTCCTTAAAACAGAGAATAGAAAACAGAAAGCGAAGCCAAACCAGACTACAGTTTGTAATTCTTAGTATCCAAATTTAACAAGAGAATAAAGCAAGAGATTCAATTGAGAAATGGGCTAATTTGAGTACCAAGTAAATGGTCTTCCAGACATCCCAGAGGCATGTACTCATACACCAGAAGTCTTTGGTCTCCATCAGCACAATACCCGATTAAGCTCACGAGGTTCGGATGGTGTAGAAGGCTCAACATGAACACCTCAACCAGAAACTCTTTGTTTCCTTGCATTCCATTCCGGTCCAGTTGTTTCACTGCTACAATCTGCATACCCGATCCCGACATTGTTAAGATATAATGATGTAATAACATACTATCCGTATGTAATGAAGTATATAATAAGAACCCGTCTGCTAAGACAAAAATGAGTTGAAGCCATTGAAACACTGATGTTATGGCTGAATCTGCCGAATTATTATTATATATTCAAAATATAATACAATGTAGTAGTTTATTGAAAAAATTAAGAGAAAAGCTAAAATGGTTCTCTTTAACCAATGTTGTTAAAAAGTCTATCAAACCTTACCTTCTTCATTATTAATCAATTAAAGCTTAAGCTTTTACTACTTATGATCACATCATTTGACCTACTACATTAGCCAACCAGTACCTGGCCAGTTGTCTCCAAGCGACCTTTGTAAACGCGGCCAAATCCGCCTTCACCAATCAGACATTCTTGCCGAAAGTTCTTTGTGGCAGCTGCCAGCTCTCTGAAGGTGAATGTTTGGGCTGCAATATTGTTGCCGCTTTTCGGATTTGTCGCTTCTCCAGTAGGCTTCTTTTTGCTCTCTACAATTCAAAAAGAAAAAGTCAATACCCTCTTTGTCATCAGAAAGGTAAAGTGAAACTAAAAGTTTCTATCTTGACAAAGACTTTATATGTTAGATTGTATTTATATATTTTCTGAAGAAAGGTTGTTTGAATAGAGACTTGTATATAGGCTAACCAACCAGGCTTGGTTTGATGACGATCATCGGGGAGGCGAATATCATTTCTTTTGCTGCTAAGCCTCTTGGAAGCGTTCCTTTGATCATGAGAAGTAAAACACGAAAAACAGCTCATGCTTTTCGAATGCCCAAATCAATATATATTATGAACTAACCAATAAGGTTAATGTATAATCTGATCAAAGATCAAATATTGCCGTTGTTCTAATAATGCAGCCAACCAACCAAACCTCTGTTTCGATTTCAAGCAGGTAATGCTTTAATGAAACTGAAACCTTATGAATCAGAAAATCAAATGTGGGTGGTAAAGCCACCATGAAATAATAATCAGAAGGAATAAAAAAGATATGAATTGTGAATTAAAAAATCAAATGTGGGTGGTATGAATTTGTATGTTTGATAGAAAAACAAGGATAAGATTCAGCATTTACTTTATCTATTTGATGAAACCATGATAAGTTAAGAAGAAAGAAATAAAGAGAAGAAAAAAATGTTTGATCTATTGTTTGTTTGTTTTTTCCCGCAGAAAATGGAACATTGGGGAAGAAAGATAGACTTTGAGAGCAAACTAGGCGTACGTAACTACGTATACCCAATGGCAATTTTGTAATTCTAATAGATAAATGATCATTTTTATTTATAAAATGCTCACTTTGTGTGTAATTTCGCACCCATATACAGAGTTTATATATTTGTTTTTTAAATTCTGATTTTTTTATAAAGAAAAAAAAAATTGATTTGGTGATTCCTTATTTTTCTTTTAAAGGGTTGTCCTTTGTATATTACTCCCTACTAAATTTTAAATATTTCAAAAAATGTCCAAATATGTTAGTGGTCGTATTATCGTAACATCAATCCATATGGTAGAGATTTTTTCCGACAACTTTTCTAAAGCCTTATTATGTAGAAAATATACAATGATTATAAGCTATGGGCGGTCAGCGGTCGCAAATAAATAGTTAATGTGAAACAAGAAAAGAGATGAAGATAAATTTGGTGATATTATTATGTTCGGAGTAGTTATATTTAAAACTTTAGGAATAACCTTTTAATCATTGCTTCTACTTTAATTTGTTTTTTTGTCAACGACACATTATTATTATTATTATTATTATTATTATTATTATTATTATTATTATTATAATATGAAGTCTAATGAAGATGAGAATCATGAGATAAATATTTACTCCACAAAAAATCTCTTATATTCCCTTATCTGATTCAACGTTAAATTCACCCATAAAAAATTTAACGTCAAAAGAGTTGATAACTTGATATGGACAGAATCAAGGTCATTAGAACACATTTTCATTAAATACAAAATAAAAGATACTTTGAGACAGTAAGAAATAGAAACAACAATTAACTTGGGAGTTGGGACAGAAAGAGAAAAACAAAAGAAAAAGAAAAAGAAAACAGCATATATTTGAATCCTCTATTTCACCCAGGGGAAGCTAAATACTCAGTAATTACGGAGTACCTTCTTTTAGAAAATTGCGATATTTTTCCAATCGAATTATAATGACATGCTTTAAGGTAAAAAGGAATGACATTAATGTGGAATGCAACTTAAAACAAGTAGATAACAGCTTAACATATCATTGATTCTGCTAGTGAGTACAAACGTTTGTACAAGCTCAAGAGTAATGAAGAGAGAGGCCGGTATGAACTTCATCTTTGCCTACTTTGAAATTCTGGTAGAGTGGTAGGAACTTCATCTTTGCCTATTTGAGTCCGGTAGGAACTTCATCTTTGCCTATTTGAGTCCGGTAGGAACTTCATCTTTGCCTATTTGAGTCCGGTAGGAACTTCATCTTTGCCTACTTTGAAATTCTCTCCTTGAAGGCCACTAGGCCAGTCATTAGTACACCTTCAAGGCTCATCATCATTTACTAGTTTTGATTCAGCTTGTGATGTGGTTTTCGAAGCAGACGCTCTCTGGAGATTAAGATGATTACACAGTTACACAGTAAGAGTTAGGGGGTGCAGATCATCATGATGAGTATCACGTAATTGCTCAAATTTCATTTGAATAAAATCAAAAATTATGTTTCTCAATCCTTTATAAGTTCAATGAAAGAATATACGTAGTATTGATTAAATTTTCATTCCATGTAGTATGAAAATGGAGTAAAGTCCATTTTGGCATTCCCTCTATTTCCAACCAGGTGGCAAGTCAAAGAAAAGCAATACCTTCAGATAGTAGAGAAGAAGATGGACAAGAATAAAACTTTCACGTTTTATAGAAAATACACATTCAATTTATCATTTAATTAAGGGTAAAATAAATAATATACCCCGAACTTTGCCTTAGTGTGAGTTCCCCACCCCGAACTTGTCCTAGTTTAAAAAATACCCCCAACTTTATTTATTTAAATTTTTTGTACCATATTTTAATTAACAAATAATATTTCTCAAGTTATAATATGTTAATTAGATTTAGTTGTCAAAAAAAGATTAATTAACATATTTTTGTACTTAAATTAGAGATTTTGAAGTTATTTAATCAATTCGAAAAGCACACATTAATTTGGGAATCACACATCTTTTTTTGCCAACTAAATCTAATAAAAATATTACAATTTGAGAAGTATTATTTGTTTATTAAAATATGGCACAAAAATATTAAATAAATAAAGTTGAGGGTATTTTTTAAACTATGACAAGTTTGGGGTGGGGAGCTCACACCAAGGCAAAGTTCGGGGTATATTATTTATTTTCCCCTTTAATTAAATACATATCAAATATTGGAGCCAAGAATAGAAGAATAAAGAGAAGCACCTGATGAAACAAGAATTACTAACAGACACCATTTCTGCGTATACAGCCACCTTTCCCAACTTTCTGATAATCTGCAAAATGCCTTCATCCAATCATCCCCATCCAACAAATGAAGCATTGAACAAATAAGACTCTGATCATATCAGGTAAACCCATTTAATGAGTGATCGTTCAATGTGAAATTGATGCTGCCAACTTAGATATTTGAATGGACAACGTGTAAAGAATGAGCATAGATTTTTTTTTTTCATTTTTTGCATGAAGTAAAGCATGAATGACATATCTACTCTATCTATAAAAGTTAAGGACAAATTTGTGTGTACGCGTTTTGTGTAAACTTTTTTGTACATCCTCTATTTTATTTGTCTAAAAAATGCAGAAATTTTGAGAGTTGTCAATTATGTGAAACGTGTACAAAAATGTGTACACCAAGCAAAACCCCAAAGGTAAAGTCGAAATACATGCAAACTCAACCAAAGTAAAAAAAAATTAATATAAATACCAGTTTGGACTCATGGAATAGCCCTTGCTCTCTTCATGGTGAAGGTTAAACTTTGCTCATAAAGGCTGGTTTTTACCCTCACCTAATCACAAATGGAAAGAATCAAATGAGATGTTACAGGATTCTTATGAATAAGTAAAGCTATGAAAGCTTCCAGATTTCGACAGTTGCATAAAAACAATAAAAACAATAATAATTAATGACTATCCAATCTCAAATGAACAATATAATACTGGAACATTTATGCAGCAACTGAGAATCTGTCTACAGAAAATAATTTTATTCAAGTAGCAAGTGAATCACCTGAAGGAGAGCCTTGGCGCACCTGTTACGGTGTTGTGTGTGACTGAGAGGTCACGCGGGTTCAAGTCTTGGGACTGACCTCCTGTAGAAAATGATAAGGAAAGGCTAGCCCCTTATACACCCATGTGGTGGAACCCTTCCCCAAACTCTCGCTTTGCGGGGACGCCAATGTGCACCGAGCAGCTCTTTTTTAACAGGTGAATCACCTAATATTTTTACCAAATGATCATATGATTTCCATTACCTATTTACCTCTTTTGACTAAACATATGCAGCCTTGGTCTTGGTCATTTCAGCATGCCACAGAAATTCTTACTTCAATGAGTTCAATCGTTGAAAAACATGTAAACATGCTCTCAATACCAGACAACTCAAGGAAAAGACTGAAGTAATATCTCCTGCAACACATATCAGAAAGCATGAAAAGACTGAAGTAATTTGTCTCATGTAACTCATGGCTTGTTCTTGCACATTTCAGCTCTTTCATAGTTATACATCAGCCAAAGTACAGCTTCGCTACTCTCTCCTCTAACAAAGAAGTCATGTTTGGTTAAGGTACAAGTGTACGACTTTTTAACTTGGACAAGGTAAAACTGTAAACCGTCATGATGAAACACTACTTATAATTAACTTTTTTTGTAACTCTTTTAGCAAATTACAACAAAATTAGCTTCTTTTAATGAAACATGACTTTTTTGTCGGGAGCAAAAAATCTTAGAAAACATTACTCCATTTTTTGGTACAGAAAGCGTACTAGTAAATAGGGGTTCTTCCCAGTGGTAGTAAAGATTTTTAGATTCTGATAAATAGATAAAATGAATAAAAGATTTTGGGGAGGGGATTCTGCATACCACCCGCTTAAGGACCTCAGTTCTTTGGTGTGCTTAGCAGCTATAGATATTTGGTTGATGATACAGTTCCTGACTTCCTCATTATACCAAGTTTATTCCACCACTGACAATTTTCGACTTTTTGTTTACCAGATTCCTCTAAGGCCCGGCATTCAAATGTGCTCAAGTCAAATCGATCTTCATACATTGATACAACTTCCATGTTCAGATGCTTCCATGTTCAGATGCAACCATTTGCGCATTGCCACCTGTTAAAAAGTTGCAATAAGGTTAGAAATCATAAAACCCAAACCTAAGCATACAAATAATTGATATGAATACTGCTCCCTAGCTCACATGATGAAAAATAATGGCATTGCTATTTGGACACCAACCAGCACTGTTGCATCAAGGCATCAATAAACATAGACTGACCTCCACGATGCACTGAAACGCCCAAAGGCATGAGTTTCCCTGTTCAGGAAACTCCACAATGCATCCAAATGCTAGAAACTCCATATACACATTATGAGCTATTTCGGTAATTTAAAAAATGTGTTTATCTTGAATATGTACGTTTCAGTAACTCTGGCCAAATTCCATAAAGATAAACACTAAACTTCAGACTTTAAGTTTTACCATCTTAAGGGAGTGTTTTCCATTGCTTAAAAAAGTGTTCTTTAGCTTTTATCTTTAACAAAGTTAAAAATAGTATTTTCAAACAACCACTTCTACATAAATTAAGCACTTTTAAGCTAACCCTGGGGTGCTTTAAGTTCGCTTTCATTTTTTCTATCACACAAAAAGTACTTTTTACCAAGCACTCTAACTTTTACTTTTTAAATCACTTTTCTTCTCAAACACTTGCAACTTTTACTATTAATCACTTTTAGTATAATTTCTAAAACTAATCACTTCTCAAAAGTAGAAGCAAACGCCAACACTCCTTAACTACCTTCTCTGTTTCTCCTTGACGTAAAAAAGAGCTTGGTTTCCTATAAAAAAAAGTTATGGTGCTTCGGAGCTTTGCTGTGATAGTCTAAGTTTCTGTCAACTAGGTTTTGACAAAACACTAGCCTTCTTCCTCAGAATTCTTCTCCTCTGTATGTGACTTTCTTGTCTTCTCTACATTTTTACTCTTTCATTTTGTTCTTGTTCGCTACTTTTTTTGTGGCATTTTTTATCGACTATATGACTTCACTTGTGTACTGTACTTCTGTTGAATAGTTTAATGCTATTGTTTTCTTATATTGAATCATTACGAATAGAAATGCATGAATCTATATGTAAAATATATTCACAGATTCCCCTATTTCAGTATCCTACATTCCTACAGTATTTTTACTCCGTGCTACTTAGACTGACCAT